TACCACTACTACTACGACTACGACTACAAAACTACTACTACGACTACAACACTGCTACTTCTTGAATGACTGTTACGACGACTACTGCAAGTACTACCATTGCTAATACGACTACTACTACATCTATGCCCACAACTAGTCCTGATGCTACCCCAACTCCTACTACTACTACGGCTACTACTACTACGACTACTACTACCACTACTACTCGTACAAATAACACTACGACCTCTCCAAATACTACTACTACTGCTACTACCACTACTACTACTACTACTACTACTACTACTACCAATCATACCACAACTACTACTAGTTCTAATAGTAAGCATACTACTACTACTACTACTACTACTACTACTACTACTACTACAACTACTACTCCTCCTACTACTACTACTACTACTACTACTACTACTACTACTACTACTACTACTACTACTACTACTACTACTACTACTACTACTACTACTACTACTACTACTACTACTACTACTACTACTACTACTACTACTACTACTACTACTACTTACTACTACTACTACTATTTTTTTTTTTGGGAGGAGTTTTTTTTTTTTTGGAAGAGGTCTTTTTTTTATTTTTTTTTAAAAAAAAAAATTTTAAACTACTACTACTACTACTACTACTACGGCTACAATTTTTCTCCTACTAGCACTACTACTCCTATTACCACTACCACTACTACTACTACTACTACTACTACTACTGCTGCTGCTGCTGCTGCTGCTGCTGCTGCTGCTGCTGCTGCTGCTGCTGCTACTGTGACTGCTGCTACTTCTACTACTACGGCTACTACTACTGCTACAACAACTACTACTACTACTACTACTACTACTACTACTACTACTACTACTACTACTACTACTGCTACTACTACTACTACAACTACTACTACTACTACTACTACTTCCACTACTACTACTGCGACGACTACTGCGACTACGAATGGCACAACTACGACTACGGCTACTACGACTACGGCGACTACTACTATTACTACCATTACTACTACTACTACTACTACTACTACTACTACTACTACTACTACTACTACTACCACTAATACTACGACTACTACGCCTACTACTACTACTACTACTACTACTACTACTACTACTACTACTACTACTGATACGATTAAAATTACTACTACGACAACGATGACGACGACTACGATTACCACTATGACGCTGGAAACGGCTACTACCACTACTACTTCTACTACTACGACAGCGGCGAAGACTACTACTACTACTACTACTACCACTACTACCACTACTACTACTACTACTACTACTACTACTACT